GGCAAAAAACCTTAAAAAAAACCAATTACTAGTCAAGGGATTAGTATAGTGTTTAGTACATGGTATGGACTCAGTATTAGTTATTGTTACTTCTATTCCTTCTGTCTTGGTTGTCTTTCTGTGCTTCCCGTTTGGGTTCTAATGACCTCAAATTCTAACCCCCTCCAGCTCATTGCACTGTATTTTTCTTTGTTCTTATCAATGTAGAGTGTGCTGGAGCCACCTGGTTCTGTTACAGCAGTGGCATCTTTAGTAGACATTTTTTTCCCCCTGTCTGTATAGTGCCCTGTGAACACTTTTGGAGAATTTTTTGTCTTTCTAGTTCTTTCTTCAGAGTACACTTACTTTCCCAGTTACCTTTGCAGCAAGGGTTCTCATGTGACTGTGATTCCATCAGTTAGACTCATCTAAACGGCACTTTGGATGGCAGCTGAGCAATCTGGCAGAGGAGGGTGCAGAATTTACCATCTGGTGAGCTTATGGAGGAGGTATGTGGCCTTTGGGGACAGTGATGGGACAGCTCAGGCATCTGGTTCATCAGCTAGCACTGGGTGGGGAATTGTGCTGCTTGTGTCTTGGTATTGAACCTGGAGTTGCCCCTATGGGCACAAAGTATCATCCCTGGTCACAGCATGAGGAATCTGGCTTTCTGTCTCCCATGAAGCTGTGCACTGCTAAGCCTTCTTTAAATAATGATCAGAGTGGAATCTGTTGTTTGCAACTGGTGAATAGACTGCTTAGTGGTCTCTATGTCTCTTATTTGTGCTGTTATCTATTCTCCATACCACAAATAAAATGATTCTTTAAATAATTATTTTATTTAACTTTATTTATTTATTTATTTTTTGAGAGGTTTTCGCTATAGGGTGCATTTGCTTGTCAGACAGACAGAGAGAGACATAGAGACAGAAAGCGAGAAATCACCCCCCAGAGGGGATGGTCACACCGCAATCCCTTCTCCTCCATTCTCCTCTCGGGATCTTGGGCACACACGCACACGCACCTGGTGTGAGTTTTAAGCCACCGGGTCCGGGATGCGAACTGCGGTCGACTATGTGGGAGTCCAGCAACATAGCCATTATGCTAACTGCTGGTTTCCACTTTATTTATTTATTTTAATTTGTCCAGAGAGGAACAGAGAGAGAGAGAGAGAAAGAGAGAGAGAGAGAGAGAGAGAGCAAGTCACCAGGTCTGGGACTTGAACTGTGGTCAGCCATGTGGAAGTCCAGTGCCTTTAACCACTACCACCACCACGCCACCTACCAGCCCACCTTTTTTTTTAAAAAAAAAAAGAGAGATTTTTGCTATATGGTGCGTGTTCTTGCCAGAGAGAGACAGAGAGACAGAAAGCAAGAAATCATCCCCCATGGGGGATGGCCATGCCACAACCCTTTCTCTTCTAGTCTCCTCTTGGGATTTTGAGCATGCATGCACATGTGCCCAGTGTGAGTTTTAAGCTGCCGGGTCTGGGGCTTAACAACCGTGATTGATTATGTGGGTGTCCAGTGATGTAACCATTAAGTCATCTGCTGATCCCTGGAATGATCTTTTACAAGTTAATATCTGATCTTGACTCACACAGGATGAACCTCCAAGATCTCAAGTGACCCACAACATCCTCATGATCCATACTAGGTGGAAGTGGGAACACATCTTATTATCTTGATCCTTAGGTTTTCCACAAGGTGATGACTTTTTTTTTTTTTTTTGGAGAGGTTTTTTTTTGCTATAGGGTGCGTGCGCTCGCCAGACAGATAGAGAGAGACAGAGAGATAGAAAGCAGGAAATCACCCCCCAGGGGGGATGGCCACGCTGCAATCCCTTCTCCTCCATTCTCCTCTCGGGATCTTGGGCACGCACGCAGACGCGCCCGGCATGAGTTTAAGGCACCGGGTCCGGGACTCGAACCGCGGTCGACTACGTGGGAGTCCAGCGACATAGCCATTACGCTAACTGCTGGTCCCCAAGGTGATGACTTTTTGAGGATATTCTCCAACTTTAAGTTCCCTGTAGCTGGACTTTAATGTCAAGTCCACTTCATTCCTAGTGCACCAGAGTTAAGGTTTCTCACTGTTGCCTCCAGCCTATCCTATCAGTCAAAATCCTTGATGGCAACAGAACTTGCCTAGATAATAAAGCAGAAAAATAATTTATTGACATAATAAAAAGTTCACAGAGTGGCTAAGAAGGATGGAGACCATGACAGAGGCTGAGATTCCAGGAATAACCTCAAACACAAACCGGTCAGTTGACAGACCCGTGGGAGTTGCCATCAGGGGCCAGATGTCACTTCTAGGTCAGCACTTTGCCATTGTAGCCTTCTTTGCTGCCTCCTGAGAGAGCATGCATGCCCCTCCTTGCCTCTAGTGGGTGCCAGCTGTTCAGACAAACTCAGGCACAGGAGTATCTGATCAGTGGAGCCAGATCACATGCCTGTGAGGCTGCAAGGTGTTTTCAGCTCCACAGGGAAAGATGGGCTTCCCACCATCTTTCTAAAGTGGAGAGTTCCCCAAACATTGGAAGAAGGTCAAATGGTAGGTGGCCACAATGAGTGTGTATTCACTCTCTAGGTCCTACACAAGGGGGCCTCAGGGCCTCACCCAGGCTGGGATGTTGGTGAAGGTGGTATGAGATCAAGTCGATGGCACAGAGAGGAGGACAGTAATGAGAGGGAGAGCCTCTTGTCCAGTCAGACACGTTATCACCAGCTATGGGTGATGTCAGAAATCAAGGGTGGGGAGAGCATGGAAGAGGATTCATATATAATATTTCAAGAGGGAGCAGGCTCAGTTATTTATGAGTCCTCAGGCTGGACTAGCGCTTCCAAACCTCACTGGGAGTCAACTAGAAGAAGGAGTTTAATAATTTATTATACAGAATTTTATATAGTGCTTTAGTGTTCATGAATGAATATGAAACATAATTATAATTTATTGCAAAAAGTTTTGGAATAGCAATGGTATAAAGGAATAATGAAATATGTTTGTGATTACAAATTTGAAGGAGGAATTTCTTGCAGGGTGAATAGCAGTTTGCCAGGTAGACATATTGGCTAAGATGTGTGTGTGTAATTTCTGGCAAAACAGCTTATGTAAAGGCTTAGATAAAAAAAAATCATGTTGGTGGGGGTGGGGGGCACCTGTGGGAAATGAGCTTAGAGGAGGAGGAGAGGCTGGGACACAGAGAGACACAATGATCCCCGTAATTGAGTCATTCCTTAGCACAAGAGCAATATTTCTGTGAGCAATAAGGACTACAGAAAGCTCAGAGGGGTAGTTGAAGGAAGACTGGGTTCCCATCATTTCCTAAACAGCTCATGTTATTGATTAAATGTTGGAGGTTGTGGTACTTCACTGAGAGCCAGAGCCTCAGAAGGTTTTTGTGTGGATAATATGGAGATGGTAGTGGCGTGTGAGAGGCTGAGGGACCAGAAAGGCACTGCCTAGAGTAGTCTGTCTTTCCACATCAGCCTTCTACTTCTCTCTAGTTATGAAGAAAGCACAGGGACATGAAGTGGTAGAAATTGTTGTCTATGGGGCCAGCAGGTGGTGTGGTGATTAAGGGCGCTGGACTCCCACATGGCCGACCATGGTTTGAGTCTTGGACCTGGCGACTTGATTTCCCACACTCCCCCAGCCCCTCAAACACACACACACACTTTGACTCTCTCTGGTCAAATTAAAACAAACAAACAAATAAGTAAATAAAGTTAAATAAAATAATTTTTTTGGAGAGGTTTTTGCTATAGAGCCTGTGTGCTCACCAGAGAGACAGAAAGCAAGAAATCACCCCCTGGGGGGATGGCCATGCTGCAATCCCTTCTCCTCCATTCTCCTCTTGGGATCTTGGGTAAGCATGCACATGCACCCGGAGTAAATTTAAGCCGCCCTGTCCAGGACTCAAACCACATGGGAGTTCAGCGACATAGCCATTATGCCAACTGCTAGTCCCAATAAAATAATTCTTTTAAAAAAATGTTGTCTGGGTCCTGAGGGGTGCACAGGCAGTGGCATCTTCACACCAGAGGGATGGGAGAGCTTTGCTTTCAGTTCCCTGCTTGTGTCTCTTGGTTAGCTTCACCTCTGAATTTTCTTTAAAAGAATTATTTATTTAATTTTATTAATTATTATTATTATTTTAAAATTTGCTATAGGGCACGTGTGCTCACCAGAAGAAAGAGGGAATGTGAGTTAGCAAGGTGCCCGGTCCAGTACCCGAATCATGGTTGGCCATGTGGGAGTCACCAGTGTCTTAACCAACATGCCACCTGCTGGCCCCATCAGCACTGGATCTTACCTCTCCAACTGATAGATCTCCTGGAATTCTCGACCAGCTCTCTCTTACAAGGCATCAGAAGCATGAGACTCCAGTGTGCTTCTGGCAGACATGTCAGGATCTCCTGAGTAAAAGCTCTTCCTGATGTCTAACCCCAGTCTTTTTTGATGCTGTCTAACCATTTTCCCTTTTGTGCTGATATCTTGGGAAGGAGAGAGCCTCGTGACTAGAACCCTTAGACATTCCTCCCTCCTGAAGGCTGAGGGAGAACAAAAATACTACTGAGCCGAGTAAGACCCGTACACAGGTGGAGCAAAACATAGCGGAAGGTCCAGGTAAGCCCCTCCACTGGCTCTGTGTGGGTTACTTAGTTGGATGTCAAGTTTGTCAACATCTGCCTTCTGAGTGACGTGGGCCTCTCTGGCTACTGGTGTTACACGGACCACTTTGCTCAGGAATCTAGAACAATCTAGAAGGTTGAGACCTCCTGCCAGAAAGTGTTGGGATTAAAACACAGAGAAACCTTTATGTTACTTCGATAGTGGGTCTGGCATGTGGAAAGGAAGTAACAAAGATTTGTCTATGCCTTAATTTCAACACTTTGTACCAGGAGATCTTATTTTCTTGAAGTACTGCCTAGCTTCTGTTAGGCTGGGCTTTAAGTTCAGTACCTGAAGTCTGGAAAGAGGAGTAAGCAGTGAGTGAGTAGTCATCCCCAGTTCCTTTTAGGATGAGGGAACTTGCTTCTTTATTATGTGTCGCAAAGCCCCAGACACTTCTTTGTTCCTGAGAGTGTAGATGATGGGGTTGAGCATGGGTGTGACAACTGTGTAGAAGAGACTGAGGATGCGGTCTGTAGTGACAGAGGAGGATGCCTGGGGCCGGATGTAGGTAATGCTGGCTGTTCCGAAGAAGAGGGAGACCACGAGCAGGTGGGAGGAACAAGTAGAAAAGACCTTGCTGCGGCTCTGGGTGGAGGCCATTGCTAAGATGGCACCCAGGATGAGGGCATAAGAGGTGACAATCAAAGAGAAGGGGACCATGATGAAGACCACAGTGGCTGTCACCACAGAGATCTCACTGCTGTGCTTCCCAGCACTTGCCAGTCTCAGTACTGGTAGGATGTCACAGAGGAAGTGTGGAATGATTGGATGGCTGGGGAAAGGCAGAGTGAAAATGAGGGAGGAATGGGTGGTGGCTGTGATGATGCCCATGAGCCAGGAGGTGCCCACCATGGCCATGCAGGCCCTCTGGTTCATGAGGGTGGAGTAGTGCAGGGGCCGGCAGATGGCAGCATAGCGGTCGTAGGCCATGGCTGTGAGCAGGCAGCACTCAGAGATGCCCAGGACAATGAAGACATACATCTGGGCTGCACAGCTCTGGAAGGAGATAGCCCGGGGGTGCAGAGAGGTGAGGTCAGCCAGAGTCCTGGGTACGATGTCGGTGGTGTAGAGGATTTCCACTACTGAAAGCTGGCGCAAGAAGAAGTACATGGGGGAGTGCAGGGCAGGGCTGGTCCTTGTGAGAAGGATGATAAGAGAGTTACCCAACAAGGTGACCAGGTAGACCAGAAGTACCACCCAAAACAGGGGCCCCTGGAGGGTTCTGAGATCAGAGAATCCCAGAAGGAAGAATTCAGGTAATGTAGTATGGTTTTCCTTAGCCATCTTCTAGGACAGAACCTATGGCACAGCCAAGAAAGAGAAGTTATTTAGAAACAATAAACATTTCTGTAATTCGGTAAAACACTTTTCATATAGTCCCTGACAAAATGAAGGGAATTAATATCTCCTCTTTAAGGATAAGCTATGGGTCTCAGAGAAATTAAGTAACTTGCCTGAAGTATATCTGTGGAGTAGCAGGACTGGAATTTGAATCTAGGTCTTTTGACTCCAGATTTTATGCATTTCCACTCTTCCCCATTCATGCCCTGGCCATACATTGGGGCCTGATTCACATGTGTAGATCCTGGCTCTGTACTTTGGTTCTCTCTTCAGAGAGAGGGATGGAGCAGCTGCTGTGACCTGGGCCTGGTGCTACTATATAGACTGAAACTGCTGAATGAAGGAAACTGGGCAGCACTAAGAACTGCCCTGAGTAAATGTCTAATGATCACCATGATGAGCTGAGGGTTTAGAACGTCCCACGATGGTATGACTAGTTGTGATGCTACTGCCCAATTGTATCATGCCTTGTGATTCTGGCACCTACCCCGATTCTTTCCTTCTCTTCTCAGCTACGTTCAGCTACCCCAGGGGCTTTGTCCCAGAACACCTTGTTCTCTCAGGCCTTCAGAATTGCCTGCAGCATTCCCCTAGCAGAGACTGTTTCTATTAATTCTCTCAAAATCTCACTCTTCCCTGAAGCCTCAGCTCAAGTTCCAATGTACCTCTGGCAGCTTTCAGTGCTCCTCATGCTCAGTTATCCATGGCATTTCAGAATTAAAAGTGACAGTTAGGGCCACATATTTCCATATGAGAATGCTCAGATCTCATCTCTAACATTTTAGAAGGGTGATGTGCAGCATCTGTTTGAACATCTACATTGGTGGGGTACTTACTGCCTGTTGAGGTAGCCCCTTCTTGCTTTGGCCTGCTTTGCCTTTAGGAAAAGTCTTCATTAGATTGACCTTGGCTACATGTTTAGTATTTCACATGCCTCTCTCAGATAGCCGTTTGAATACTTGAAGAAGGCCAGTGTGTCTGTGCTCTCGTGAGACATTACTTCTGTTTTAGTCCCAGCACTTAGAAATATAAAGTCTCTAAGATCTTACAGGATAAGGTGTGGGAGGGAGGCTGTTTGTTTTAACACTTGCTAACATTTCTCTGGCACTAGGCTCAGGACTTAATAGGTATGAAATCATTGGGTCATCATAATTACAGTATGTCATAGAAATCTTTGTTTTCTTCATCTCACAGATGAGGAAATAGAAGCTCAGACAGCATATGTAAATTTCTTAAAGTCACACATCTAATAAGAGAAAGTTTGGGTTCAAATCCAGGGTCTGCCTAACTCTAGAGCCTGTGCTCTTAACCAGTAAGTTATCAGCTGTCTTAGAGATTAATCACCAGAACAGCTAGCACAGTACTTGGAAATGCCAAGTGTTCACTAAGCATTTAATAGATAAATGAATAAAATCCAGTTATAAAGACAGGGGTACTGATGAATAGAAAGAACAAATAATTTGTTTAAAGTTAGACAGTTAATTGGACAACAACAGGAAACTGGACTCAAGTCTTTCAGAAGTCTTGAGTCCCAAGATTTGCCAAGCCTTGATCATTCCCATTGACTTCACATATGAGGTTAGTCCAGCCGTCTTCATATTTGGGCAAGAGAGGCTCATACTTTCTGCCCATTGCTCAGGAACCATTTACTTTAGCTTTTATTTAGAGACTGCTGTGTGCTGGACATTGTGCAGAATCTCAGTTGTTCTTCATAACAACACTAGTGATAATTGTTTTTTGGTCATGGTAAAGAAAGAACCAGAGCTCCAGAAGTTTACATTCCTTACCCAAGATCACACAGTTAGTGAAGAGAACCAGAACTGCAACTTCAAGCTTACTGTATCTCCAGTGAGGCCAGCGGCTCACTGTACTTTCAGGTGGTAAGCTCTCATATAGTCAGTCAGTTTCGACAGACTTCCTGAGTCTATTGGTCCTCTTTACTCTCATCAGTAACCCTTCAGATGCCCACACCACTTAGATAACGTGGACTCGATCCTACTGTCTAAAAAAATTTTAAGTGTTATTTTAAAAGTTAAAATTAAACAGTGGAGTTGGCCATGTGGGATCCAACACCTTAACCACCACGCACCACCTGCTGCTCTGGCAGTTTAATTCTTAAAAACAGTAAAATGGAAGCATAAATACTTAAAAAAAAATTTGGGGGTAAGGAGTGGGTGGCATTTTTGCCAGTGACCCAATGTGTGACTTTTCTGAGACTCCATTTTCTTATTTGTAAAATGCAGATAATAAAATGGATTTATTCATAAAAAAATACAAGAAATATTTGGAATAAAGTCACCTATTACTCCATACCTTAGTTACATTCTTTTCTTTCTTGTATGTTGTCGTCAATCTTTATCCGATTGCAAACCCATTTTACACGCTTGTAGTCACAGTGTGAATAGAATTCTCCATCTTCTTTTACTGTGTTCCTGTAAGCATTTTGCCATGTGATCATGTAGTATTCTGAATAATCCTTTTGCTTTTTATTAAAGATTTTAGCTTTGTCCATATGTCTTGTTTGAGCTTTTAGTATCTACCTTCTGTTTGGACAGAATCCTAACCTTTTTCCTGATTTTAAGTCTTAAGCAAACTTTTCTTAACACTTTTTGATTTTAATTTATTAAAGTTAAAACTGTTTTCCTTGAAATTAAAAAAATACATTAAAATACCTGTTTAATGACTGCAATAAGCTATATAGCTTCAGCTAGGTGCTATTTTATAGTATGTTCATTCTATTAACTGAATTATATGCTTAAAGTCAGACATGTATTCACAGATATGTATATATCAGCTGCATTTGCTATTGAAAGTACTTAGATTAAGATCTTTTGTGAATCAATAAAATGTGAAAAAAAAAAAAGACAAGGAAAGCAACTGTAGATACCAGAGACAGTGTGGGAGCAGGGTGGGAAATGGCAGAGGGTGAGAGGGAGAGAATCAAGGGGGGCCAAAAGGAAGCAAAATATATATGAAACAAGAAATGGAAAATTATTTGTTGATGATAACATGTATGATAATATACTTGATTGAGCCAATATACAGTGTATTCTGGATGGGAAAACTCACTTTTGTATGTTGTAATGATGTACAGTGAATGAATGTGAAATAAATAAATTTAAAATAAAAAAATGAAACAAATTCTTGAAGTAGTTTATTACATTTCTCTGATAACTTTAACAAACACTTCTCAAATGTTTGCAGGGGGGATGGCTGCAATCCCTTCTCCTCCATTCTCCTCTTTTTTTTTTTGGAGAGGTTTTTGCTATAGGGTGCGTGCACTCGCCAGACAGATAGAGAGAGACAGAGAGACAGAAAGCGAGAAATCACCCCCCAGGGGGGATGGCCACGCCGCAATCCCTTCTCCTCCATTCTCCTCTTGGGATCTTGAGCATGCACACACATGCGCCCGGTGTGAGTTTAAGCCACTGGGTCCAGGACTCGAATCATGGTCGGCTACATGGGAGTTCAGCGACATAGCCATTACGCTAACTGCTGGTCCCATCCTTCATTCTCCTCTTGGGATCTTGGATGTGCACACACATTCACCCAGTATGACTTTAAGCCACCAGGTCTGAGACTCGACTGTCCCGTTGTCAACTACATGGGAGTCCAGCGACGTAGCCATTATGCCATCTGCTGGTCTCCCAAGATCTTGTTTTTAATTATGGTGAAAACAGTAAGATTTATCATCTTAACCATTTTTATTATATAGTTCAGTAGTGTTAAGTATATTCATATTGTTGCATATTAGACCTCCAGAATGTTTTCATCTTATAAAACTAAAACTCCCAGACTATCCTAATTACAAAACAACTCCTTTTCTCCCCTCCTTGTGATTCTTTTAAAAAAGAAGCTCCAGTAAGCTTCAGTGAGACAAGCAACTGGATAAATTGATCAGCTATTGGCTATGTGGATAGAGCAGCATCAGCTATTGGCTATGTGGATAGGGCAGCAGATAACCTGTGGCTAACTGGCCAGAATGAATAGGGGATGAACCAATAGAGGTATGCCTGACTGGCTGCATTGCCTGGTCGGCTCTATGATCTCTGAAGGCAGGAGGCGAGACTCAGCGGGTGAGTGGACTAGAAAGCAGCTCTTGAGGGATAGTTTGACATTTTGAGGTCAAGGGAGTTGGGATTTTGGGGCCTCATAGGGGATGTGGGAAATAGAAGGAGAGGTAGCCTCTGAGTCATGATGTTATGGGGGAGCATGGCCAAATAACTCATTTTCATCCTTTCAGATTGTTTTGTTTTGCCTATAGTATTAATGGGAGCTGTGTGTGGGATAGTGTGTGTGTGTGTGTGTGTGTGTGTGTGTCGGGGAAGATGTGGGTAGGGTAGCAAAGGAGAATGCAGACAGCTTTATCTGTAGGCTCTGGGATGGAATCTGAGTAAGAACGTCCTATCCCTGCTGATAGATGGCATGAAGACCGTGATGTCCACCTGGTTTATATGCCACATGCAAACCTACAGAGCCACTCAGTCATACCCTGCCTCATTCTAGCACCTCATTTTACACACCCCACTCTATTAGACACTCCACAAACACGCACGTGGCACAATCACCACTTACACGGAAATTCCCTCACTGGCTCACACCATACCGCAAATCAAAGGCTTGCCTACTCTGTAAATACACACTTGCCTTGCTCTGTTATGTACAGTTTTATCTAGCAGAAACTGTCCAGCATTCCCTGTCTCCTCCCCAGCCTTTCTTATTCGGTCCAGCTGGTGGCATCTGACTCACTCTTCAGCAAATGCAACAGCAGATATTTGGAATCTTTTTCTTAGACTCTTTTCTCACATATCCAGGGGTAGGTACTTGTTCCCAACACAGAGAGAGGTTCTAAGGGCCCAATCTGCCCACTGTTTTCCCTTCCTGTCCCTGGAAGACTCCATATTTGTCAGGAGAAGGTCCAAAGCTGCCTAGCATTGTGTGGGGCACTC